TGTGCAAAACTCACAGTGAGGCACAGTGGAAAGAGAGATGAGGCTCAGGATGTTTTTATTCGCTGGATCAGCTTTCAGAACCAGACTCTTATAAGCCGAGAAAGGAAAAACGGAGAGCTTCCTCTCCTCCTGTGGCTCCCACCCACAAAAGAGCTTTGTCAGCCCGTTCCCTGCCACTGGCCCCAACAAGCAGAATAAGTGTTCGGGAGAAACTGGGAACATTGGGTGCCACGAAACTGTGGCTTCAAATGGCCTCAGAACCAAAAAATCAGCACTGAGCATCTACAATGCCAACAATTGCAGCACCAGCCCGAAGTTTGGCACCACCAACCTTGGCACCATGATCTGCAGCACTGCTATCCGCAGCACCCAGACCAACGGTGCTGCATGTAGCAACCCCACCGGCACCGGCTCAACTGGTACTGTCTTCAGCACCGATGCAACCAATGCAGACACAGGCACCAGAACCGGAAGAAGACACAGAATGCCCAAATGAAGCTGTTAGCCCCTCAGCACCGAAGAAGGTGACTCACAAATCACAAAGAACATGTGATGTCAATCTGGAACCACTTGCATTTTCACCGACTCCATCATCACCGTTGCCTTCGCTCCAGTCGTTTGTGAGGCAAACTTCCATTGTCAAGACTTTAGGAAGGCTTTTGATACGGTCTCCCACAATATTCTTGCCAGCAAGTTAAGGGAATGTGGATTGGATAAATGGACGGTAAGGTGGTGAGGCCACATCTGGAGTATTGTGTCCAGTTCTGGGCCCCCCACTACAAAAAGGATGTGGACACATTGGTGAGGGTACAGCGGAGGGCAACCAAAAAGATTAGGGGGCTGGAGCATATGACCTATGAGGAAAGTCTGAGGGAGTTGGGTTTGTTCAGTCTGCAGAAGCGAAGAGTGAGGGGGAATTTGATAGCATCCTTCAACTTCCTGAAGGGAGGTTCCAAAGAGGATGGAGAAAGGTTGTTCTCAGTAGTGACATATGGCAGAACAAGGAGCAATGGTCTCACGTTGTGGAGGGAGAGGTCCAGGTTGGATATTAGGAAAAACTATTTCACTAGGAGGGTAGTGAAGCACTGGAATGGGTTACCTAGGGAAGTAGTGGAGTCTCCATCCCTAGAGGTGTTTAAGTCTCAGCTTGACAAGGGCTTGGCTGGGTTGATTTATTTGGGATTGGTCCTGCCTAGAGCAGGGGGCTGGACCTAATGACCTTCTAAGGTCGCTTCCAGCTCTATGGTCCTATGGTTCTATGATTCTATGACATGACAGACATTACAGACCGGTTTCCAACATCTCACCTGTACCACAACAACTGTACAGTTCTCTGTCACCTCTCCCATCCTCAAGGGGATCTTTCAGCTCACTAACTCTCCAGTAGTGATAGAAATGTAGCCGTGTTAGTCTGGTGTAGCTGAAACAAAATACAGGACTATGTAGCACTTTAAAGACTAACAAGATGGTTTATTAGATGATGAGCTTTCATGGGCCAGACCCACTTCCTCAGATCAAATAGTGGAAGAAAATAGTCACAGCCATATATACCAAAGGATACAATTAAAAAAAATGAACATATATGAAAAGGACAAATCACATTTCAGAACAGAAGGGGGATGCGGGGGGGGGGGGGGGAGAAAGGAAGGTGAATGCCTGTGAGTTAATGATATTAGAGGTGGGGAAGGGTAGATACTTTTGTCTGCAGACAAAAGTAGAAGACCTCTCTTTTGATAAAGAAAAATTATTTTCTGGGAAGACAGACGAGATCTTTCATTCTAGTAAGGACCTGAGAACTACCCTTCATACATGGGTATGTAAACCCCACTGTACCAACATATACGGTATGTATCATATCAAAGGCATCAAGATTTTTCATACCCAAGATATCAACAACGGGGGTTTGACCAATCTAGGTCAAGACAACGACCACAGAAGAGATGACCTTAGAACAGCCATAACCCAAACCAGCAGACAAACAAATAGTATGTTTGATTTCCAGGTCGAGGGCATGCAGGACCTCCTTTTGCTGGGTCACCACAATCAGTCTATCCCAATCTTTCACCATCGGCTGAGACCATTTTACCGTCGCTGGGCTGCCATCACATCAGATCGTTGGGTCTTAGAGATTGATTGTATCATTAGGCTACACCATCCCGTTTGTAGCGCTACCCCCCACCTCCTCACCATCCCTGTCCCACTTCAGGGACCCTTCTCACAAGGATCTATTGAAATAAGAGGTCCACTGTCTCTTAGACTTCAGAGCAATAGAGACGGTGCCGGAAGAGTTCAAAGGCAGAGGCTTCTATTCCCACTACTTTTTCACAACGAAAAAGACAGGTGGCTGGAGACCTATCCTAGACCTTTGCAGATTGAACCAATATCTTAGGAAACAATGATTCACAATGGTGACCTTAGCCTCCATTATCCTAGCATTAGAACAGGGGGACTGGTTCACAGCCCTTGACCTGCAAGACTCCTACTTTCATATTACCATACATCCAGCGCATAGGCGATTTCTACTTTTTGTGGTTGGATTGGACCACTATGAGTATCATGTCCTGCCCTTTGGCCTGTCATCGGCACCCAGGGTATTTTCAAAGACACTTGCTGGTGTCGCAGCATACTTGCATCGGCAGCAGATTATGATTTTTCCTTATCTAGACGACTGTCTAATAAAAGGACTAACCAGTTTGAATACTCTCCATATGATAGCCATAACCAGATAGACGTTCGACCTCTTAGGTCTCATTCTCAGCAAACAGAAATCAACAGTTCTACCTACACAAATCCTAGAGTTCATTGGAGCCCATCTAAACTCCACCATGGCAGGAGTGTACCTACCATCACAACAATTTCAAGCAATCCAAGACTTGGTATTTACACTTACAAACAGCCCCAGAACATCAATACTTACCTGTCTCAAACTCATGGATCATATGGCAGCTACAACTTACATGGTTGCTCATGCGAGGTTCCACTTTCGCTGCCTTCAACCCAGGCTTGCTTCCATTTACACCCACCGGAAGCACAGGCAAGTGTCTCTACCTACCGACGTCCTAGAGTCTCTGAAGTGGTGGACCAAACCAAACAACTTACTTGCAGGAGTTCCATTTCATTGGGATCAACCTACCACAGAGATCACTTGTCTCCCTCAAAGGATGGGGAGCTCATATGGAGGCATATCCGTCCAAGGTCTATGGACAACCAGGGAGTCTACCTTACACATCAACATATTGGAACTCAGAGCAGTTGCAAATGCATGGAGGCATTTTCTGCTGCACGTCCAAGGAACCACAGTGAGGGTACTTACCAACTATGTATTAACAATGTACTATATAAATCGACATGGGGATGCACACTCTCATTCCCTGTGCCCCAAGACCATTCGAATATGGAATTGGTGCATCCACAATGTGGTCACCCTGACAGCTTCCGATTTACCTGGGATCAACAATGTTTTCGCCGATTCACTCAGCAGACCCTTTGCCCTAGACCACGAGTGGGAACTTCATCGACGCATCCTCCAGCATATTTTCAATCACTGGGGTCATCCACAGATAGACCTATTCATCTCCTACAAGAATACAAAATGCCAACAATATTGTTCCAGGGCCAGCATAGGTCACGGATCTCTAGGGGACGCATTTCCCCTCCATTGGAAAGGCCCCCTTTTATACGCCTTTCCTCCCACTCCACTCATTGCCAGAGTTCTCGAGAAAATCATCAGAGACAGTGCGACAGTGATTCTCTTAGCCCCTTTTTGGGCATGACAAACATGGTTCCCTATCTGTATCACATGTCTCCTCAACCACCTTATTGCCTCCCCACACATCCCGATCTCTTAACCCAGAACAATGGGACTTTAATCCACCCTCAACCTCATACACTACAGTTGACAGCCTAGCTCGTTGTTGGTTCCAGGAAAGTGAACTCCATTGTTCGACCAAAGAGAGAGATGTGCATTTGCATATCAGGAAACAATCTACTCGATCCACTTATCTTCAGAAGTGGCACAGGTTTCAGGTGCGCTGGAAAACAATTGGATCCATGCACGGTGCCTTTACATGTCATTTTGGATTATATCCTGCAACTGAAAGAAACAGGATTAGCCCTAGAATCTTTGAAAGTACACCTAGCAGCGATCACTGCATTCCACAGCTCAATTGACATATGACCCCACCTTTACTTCTGAACTGCTTCTGGAGGCAGCACTTCCTTCAAAGCTGGATGACAGGCAAGCACCTGCCATTCTCCATTTTGCCTTCAGACCTGGGCATTCTCCATTTTGCCTTCAGACAAGTACATCAAGATATGTACTTGTGTGACAAAAGTGGGGGCTGAGAGACTTATACAACTACAGACTCAAAGGAGAGAGATGAAATCAAATAAATTGGAGAATCACTGCTCTCTACTATCTCTGAATTGCCTTGGAACAGCGGGCACAGGTATATCAGAGCTAGTTATGCTCTGGTGATCCCCAGTGGCTTGAATGGATCCTTGGGACTGTAGAATAGGGCACAATTTATAGTAACTCAAGTTGCTGTAAACTGGGGGAAGTATAAAGCAATTAGAGCCATCTTTGCCTCAGCTTTTCAGGTCTCTCAATGGAGCAAAGCTTTGTCAGGCCAAGCATCTAGTGCACTGTCTTCATACCCCTCCCATTTTCCATAAATTAACTAAACTTCAGTTTTTAATTAGAGCTGGTAGAAAAATTAGAAGAAAAATCATGAAAAATGTATCACTTGTATTTGTGATGTTTCAAAGTGTTTTAACTATCTATATAGGTGATTAAAAACAGCAAAACATTTTCATTACAGTTTTCACCAAAAACATCCTGTTTTAAATTTTGTTTATGTTTAATACAACAATGCTGAAACAAATTGAATAAAAGCTGTACCTGAAATACATTATCTAATCCTCTAGTTCAGTCAAAGACCAATGTCATTATCAAGCAACATTTGGATATTAATTTTTCATGGTCTTTTCGGACTTTCTAGGTGAAGGAAGTGGAGTTAACTGAAGAGGAAGAAATAATCAAAGCAAACATAATAGATAATGAAGCACTAACACCAGAAGTTCTCGATAACATTGTTCCTGAGTGGTGGACAAAAGAGCCAATCCGGTAACTATTATTAATGTCAAATTATGTATCTTTTTGTTATTCTTTTTAAAAAGCTCAGTGTTTATAATAATAAATCCACAAACTGTGGATAAGTATGAATAACATGCAATAAATAATCCATTGGTTCTGTAGTATCCAGAATAGTTCAGGTCTTTAACAGGGTTCAAAAAAAGGTAGATAAATTTATGGAGGATAGGTCCATCAATAGCTATTAGATAGGATGGGCAGGATTAGTATTCTTAGCCTCTGTTTTTTAAATTGGGGAATGGGGAACAGAGGATGGATCACTTGGGGCTTGTCTACATACAAAGAGCATCAAAGCTGACACATTTGATCTTCTGAAGTTTGAATTAGCAGGCTTAGTGAAGACATGCTAATTCAAACTGAGAGGGTACGCCTATTGGTGCCGGTAGTCCTGCTCCTACAAGAAGTAAGGGAAGTCGATGAGAGAGTGTGCTCCTGGGAGTCAACCTCCCACTGTGTGGATGATGCCAAAATGCAATTTAAGATACTTCTAGTTGCATAGCTTAAGTTGACTTCTTTAGTGCAGACCATGCCATGGTGATTACCTATCCTGTTCATTCCCTCTGGGGCAGCTAGCATTGGCCACTGTCAGAAGACAGGATACCGGGTTATATCAGGCGTAGGCAATAATTTTTGTACGGGGCCACTTAACCAATTTTGGTAGTGGTTGTGGGCTGGCCCTGAAAGGGGCAGAACCTTAGGTGGGAAGGACAGGGCCTTGGGCAGAAGGCATGTGCCCCAATGAGGGGAGAGACTTCGCTCACTCCCCTGTAGGGCAGGGGAGCGCACCAGGTCTCTAACCCCTACCTCACTCTGCTAGGGGTGCACAGCATCCAGAGGGAACCACCAGCCATTTTGAACAGCTGGCAATTCCCTCTGGCACCACGTGCTCTTGGCAGGGGAAGGAGACTTTCTGTGCTCGCCCCGCCCCCAGGCCAATCGGAGCCTGGGGAGCATGCAAAATCTCCACCCTCACCCAGCTGGGTGTGCAACGCCAAGAGGGAACCACCATCTGTTTTGAACAGCTGGAAGTTCCCTCTGGTGCTGCGCACCCCTGGCAGGGGTAGGAGACTTTGCACACTCCCCTGCCCCCAGTCTTTATTGGCCTGGGGGTGGAGGCGCAGCTGTGGGAGCCAGGGGCTAGATCAAATGTCTTGGTGGGCTGGATCCAGCACGCCAGCCGTATCTTGCCCACCCCTGGACTAGATGGACCTTTGATCTGATCCAGCATGGACATTTTTATTTTCTTTTTGTATCTTGCAGTGTCAGCACAAGTCTATACATCTAAGAATAAAGGATATTCACTTTAGTAGTTGAGAAATAAAGTGTCAAACGATCCCAAAACATCTCAGTTTTCAGAGAAGATAAGTAGGATTCAGTGAGAACATATTGGTGCTAATTTTAACCTGCCCATTGTTTCTAGAAGGCTAAAATGGACAGAAGGAAAGGAAGTGATAAACAGTATTCAAATGAGATATAAAAATTCCTATTGGAGAAAGAATGATTAGATAACATATTTCATAAAGCAGTGGATATAGAAGGTAAACATTTATCTCAGAGAGAATTTTCAGACTTGGGTTTGCAACTGACAACTGCTTACATGTAGATAAGCTACTGCATCTGTGCAAGTCACAAGTCCACACACATGCAAGATGTTGCTGGGATATGTCTTAAAAGTTAAACTTAAATTTTAACCAAATATATACCTGTAATTTTTACAGATTACAAATGCCAACAAGATTTTTCTTAGTATATGAAAACAATTACAAAGAGGAGGAAAATGTTCTAAGACTGTTCATAAACAAATGCAGAAAAAATAATTGCGGATTGAAAGGCCTTTTTGTGGAAATGGCCCATCCTGGATCTGTCATGCAACATGATGACCATTGCATATTTAAATAATTAAGGGAAGTTCTCATGTTAGTACCAGAGCAATGCGAGTCCTTTTTAGGCACATGGTTATCTAGCCTCCATTTGGACAAGTCATGTTAAGGTAACATGAAACTCAAAAGCTGTTTGACTCAGCCTTCAGCAGATAGACAACTCAGAATCATTCCTAAACCAAGAAATTTCCCAGTTGATATCAATGGATCTAGATCAGTCCCAGGTGGATCTACTCACATTCAATGAAAATGCAAAGTCAAGTCTTCACCGGGGAAACCAGCTGAAGATAAAAGGAAACAGATGCACTATGTCAAAAATGGCAGAATTGGTTTCTTGGGTATTCCCCCAGTCCCCTTTCCCATTGTTCTGCTAATAGGAACTGTTAGTCAGAAATATGGCTCTAGTGCAAACTTTCTAGTTCACCAAACAATGTCATGAGGTCTTAAATAAAAGCCAGAGTCATAGTGACCATTAATATCATTGTGAAATGTATGTGCAGATATTATGTAAGATGGCGTGTGTATGTATAAAAAGGACAGTTGAATGAGGTGAATGTTGGCAAGAAAAGTCTCTGAAATTTCCATTCTTGTCTGAATGAGATGACTTCTTGAAATCCCTAACAGCCCTGTATTTCTATGCTTCTGTCACTTGCTCCATTACCCACAAGGGCAAGATTGTTTTCCATGTTTCAGAATTATTCATAATCAATTAGGGAAGTTAAAACAATTAGCCAGTTAACTGTTTTAACTTAGGACCCACTGCCTGGCCCACCAGTCCCACTGCATCTGGGACTGTTCCATTCCAGTGCGACTGGCTGCTACCAGAGTTAACAGGAAAGGGTCAGTTAACCAGTTAACAGAAGGGATGTTCAGTAGCGATTAATTTGCTAGTCAAGTAGTTGATGGAATTTCATCGACTACTCAACTAGTCAATAAGCACTTCCACGTTCCACCTTTGAAATGTACAAGAGCCCCAGTGGGGGCTCTTGTGCATTTCAAAGCTGGAATGCCGTGTGGAGCCCAGAGCCAGCGTGAAGTCCCGATTACTCTGGGCTCCATGCAGGCGCTTCTGCTTTGAAATGCACAGGAGCCCTCACTGGGGACTCTTAGAATCATAGAATAATAGAACACTAGAACTGGAAGGGACCTCAAGAGATCACTGAGTCCAGTCCCCTGCGCTCATGGCAGGACTCAATACCATTTAGATCATCCCTGATAGATGTCTACCTAATCTGCTCTTAAATATCTCCAGAGATAGAGATTCCACAACCTCTCTAGGCAACTTATTCCAATGTTTAACCACCCTGACAGTTAGGAAGTTTTTCCTTATGTCCAACCTAAACCTCCCTTGCTGCAGTTTAAGCCCATTGCTTCTTGTCCTATCCTCAGAGGCTAAGGAGAACAATTTTTCTCCCTCCTCCTTGTGACACTCTTTTAGATACCTGAAAACAGCTATCATGTCCCCTCTCAGTCTTCTCCTTTCCAAACTAAACAAGTCCAATTCTTTCAATCTTCCTTCCTAGGTCATATTCTCTAGACCTTTAATTATTCTTGTTGCTCTTCTCTGGATCTTCTCCAATTTCTCCATATCTTTCTTGAAATGTGGTGCCCAGAACTGGACACAATACTCTATTTGAGGCCTAATCAGTGCAGCATTCAGTAGAAGAATGACTTTTCATGTCTTGCTCACAACACTCCTGTTCATGCATCCCAAAATCATGTTTGCTTTTTTTGCAAGTGTCACACTTTTGACTCATATTTAGCTTGTGGTCCACTATGACCCCTAGAATCCATTCTGCAGTAATCCTTCCTAGACAGTTACTTCCCATTCTGAATGTGTGAGACTGATTGTTCCTTCCTAAGTGGAGTACTTTGCATTTGTCCTTATTAAATTTAATCCTATTTGCCTCAGACCATTTCTCCAGTTTGTCTGGATCATTTTGAACCATGATCCTATCCTCCAAGCAGTCACAACCGCTCTCAGCTTCGTATCATCTGCAAACTTAATAAGCGTACTCTCTATGCCAATATCTAAATCGTTGATGAAGACATTGAACAGAACTGGTCCCAGAACAGATCCCAGCGGAATCCCACTTGTTATGCCCTTCCAGCAGGATTGTGAACCGTTAATAACTACTCTCTGAGAACGGTTATTCAGCCAGTTATGCACCTACCTTATAGTATCCCCATCTAAGTTGTATTTGTCTAGTTTATTGATAAGAATATCATGCGAGACCGTATCAAATGCCTTCCTAAAGTCTAGGTATACCACATCTACTGCCTCTCCCTTATCTACAAGACTCATTATCCTATCAAAGAAAGTGGATTGGTTTCACATGATTTGATCTTTACAAATCCATGCTGGCTGTTACCTATCACCTTATTATCTTCCAGGTGTTTGCAGATGAATTCCTTAATTACTTGCTCCATTTTCTTTTCTGGCACAGAAGTTAAACTGACTGGTCTGTAGTTTCCTCGGTTGTTTTTATTTCCCTTTTTATAGGGAAATATTTGCCCTTTTCCAGTCTTCTGGAATCTCTCCTGTCTTCCATGATTTTTCAAAGATGATAGCTAAAGGCTCAGATACCTCCTCTATCTTGTGCATTTTAAAGCTGGCATGACGCATGGAGCCCGGGGTCACAGAATCATAGAACAGTAGAACTGGAAGTCTTTTACATCCCTAGTTAACAATAATCATACTGGCAAACCTCATGCTTACTGGTATACGTACTTTAAGTAATGATAAATATTCCTTCCCTTTCTAAGGAAAAAAATAATTCTTCTTTCATTTTGCCTAAATCCTCAAAATCATATAAAGAAAGCATGATAGATGCCAAATATAAGGTGAACAGTTAATAAAAGATATTGTTGGAGAAATGATCTGTGATGTTATCTGATTATAATATGACCATATAGGTCATTGTTGCAATCATTGTTATATATTTGCAACAAATCTTGCAAAAATGAGGTTTAATGAGATCTATGAGAAGGTTGATTTGCTGGTTATAATTACGGTGTTTGTATGACATGTCATTAAGTTATGAGCTTTGGCTATGTACTTGTATTTCAGTGTGTTCAGTTCTTAGTAGCACCAGAGAAGCATTTGACCAGCATATTGTGAAAGGACTATTCAAGTTGAATAGACCATCCAGAAGTACTTTACTCACAATGGGCCTTGGGAGACACCAATGCACATCTGATGAGCCTTCCTTATAGCATTCCAACTAGCATTTGGGCAATGGCTTCTACCTGTAAGAATCTGAGTCATATATGGACAGGTGATTTGACCGTGTGCCTGGACACTATCTTATTACTGTGCATTCACTCCACATAGAAGAAACAATTAAAAAGGCTTGGCAATATCTCCATCTTGCCTCTTTCCTGATCCAGCTTCTCTACTGCTCAGACCTCTGGTTTATGGACTTACATCATGAGAGCATGCTAAAAAAGGGACTGAGTGCCTTTCAATGATTTGGAAGTAACTGGACACTTGACCTAAGCTACCAATTTACTCCATCACTGTTTCAAGCCTGAAACCAGAACTTTGCAATTGTTGTATGTATTTGATTCCTTTAACAATTTTAACTCACATCTATCTATCTTTCTTTTTTAATAAATAAATCTTTAATTTTTAGATACTAAAGGATTGGCAACAGCATGATTTCTGGATAAGATCTTATTTGAATATTGATCTGGATGAGTGGCTGATCCTTTGAGACTAGAAGAACCTTTAATTGGAAATACTGGTTTCAATAATCACTCATCCTTATAAACAGTGCTGCTAGTAATGATACAAAATCATAGAAGTGGAGTAATGTGAGGGAATTGCTTTTCTGACTTCTTGTGAGTCAGCTGATTTAGTATACCTTTTAAGTGGAGAGCCACCAGTCTTGGGACGTGACTACCCTTCTTCTCAGTACTTCATCCTGAATTGTACACTCTCAGTGGTATCCAATGATTGTACAGCTGTTTACACTATCAATTCAGAAAAAAACTGGGTCAGCTCCTGGCCCATTCTATAGCCCCTTTGCCATCTCTCTGCCAACACAAGGGATTTTACATCTGCCTTAAATGTGAAGCTGAGGTTTCCCACAGCATGAGGCAATCCTTGGCTGATGTTCTATACTATGTCTGGGCACAGAAGCATATGGGTGCATAGATAAGGAACTTTAGAAAATATCAACCATATTCAGTACTTTCCACAGAGGTATCCTAGGCAAAAAGAGTGCTAACTTTCACAAAGGAAGTCTGTAAACTCTTGTTATCTGTCAGCATTTTTTTCAAAAAAGCACTATAGGCTTGACTTAATTCCTCTATAAAATCATTCTTCAATAGGACAGAATCCAAAGGAGGTCCTGAAACAATTTTAATATTATTAATATGAGGGAAGTCTTATTGTTCTATTTATCTTTCCTTCCTTCCATCCTACTTTTGTCCAAATGGCTGACTGGACAAAAAATCGAGTTCCTTTCCAAGTCTGGCCTTTCTGCTATCTGCGTTACTAAAGTGCTTTCTTTGTCTCAAGGCCCAATGTACATGAAATGTTGTTATAGTCAATCTAATAATAAGTACAGAAACACAAAATTCAACTTTGGAAGTACTTATATAGTGTGAGGATGTAAGGGCTATGACCAGGACCTGAAGTTTCATAGAGAAGTCTGAACTAACTCCATTATTTGCAGGAGAGAGTTTTGCTCATCAAAAGAGGTATAGTCTATGTAATGGACAGGGAGAGAAGTAATGACCTGAAAGAAAATCATCAGCTAACAAACTCCATATGACAGACTATACCAAAATAATGATTTGTGTTCCCACTTATAATTCTTCTATGGGGACTAACAAACATTAACTTCAGAGACACCCTAGCAAAATTGAAGATCCTGATATATAAAGCTCTTTAGACTAAGATGCTATCTAGGCTGAAATTATTCTTTAAAAAATGGGCATGTGATTTCTGTAACATTGAAAATGCAGAGGGAAGACAGTGTTTGCTAAATAGGATAACATACAGTAAAATAAAAAGTGAAAAATTGCTCCTAGATTTTCTACTCATTAGGGAACTTTGTAATGTGTGTCAGCAAGATTAATGTGCAACTCTGTGGATTGGAATTCACACCCTCCAGTGCAAATTGCTGTACCATGTAGACCGGCCCCAAGAGAGAGAAAAATATATATATTTGTAATTATTGTTTTAATGAAGTGGTTTTTTTCTTTTTGCCATTCACTCATTGAATTGTTTGTGTAGTAAAATATAACTTTTAAGAAGTACATCGTCTTTATCTTTGTTTCCAATCAGATCCACAGGATTTATACTGGATGGTTTCCCTCGTACACTTGAAGAGGCCCAATTCTTATCAGAGCGAGGACTCTGTCCTGATGTAGCAGTTATTATCCAAGTGGAGGAAAGTGATATTTCTGACCGTCTTCTTCCTCCGCGTTTTAAAAAATGGAAGGATAGAAAAAATAAGAAAATGGAAAAGAAGAAGAGGCTGAAAGACATGAAAGAAAAAATAAAAGTGGGTTTTATTCTTTCAGTAACAAACAAATTTTAGAAACAACAGGCAGTCCTTTGGCATCTTAGCAACTAACAACTATATCATGAGCTTTTATGGGTAATACCCCCTTCATCAGATGATTTGGACTGGAAATTACAAAAATCAGAGTATCTATAACAGCAAAAGCAATTACCTTTCAATTATAAGACTAATGTTAATGAAGCTAGTTGAGTCATGATGGATGTGTCCCATTCATATCTTTTTATGTGTAAATGTGAATATCAAAGGAGGGGGAAATTGCCTTTGTAATGCATTAACTAGTTAATATCTTTATTCAAGCACAAGTTAATAGTGTCGTACTTACAAATGAATTCTAGTTCAGTAGTCTCCCTTTGTAGTTGGGTGATAAAATTCATTTGTAGCAGAATAATTACTTTTAAATCCATTATTGAATGAATGTCCACGGAGGTTAAAATGTTCCCTAACACGTTTCTGTGTGTTACCATTCCTGATGTCTGATTTGTGTCCATTTATCATTTATCGCAGAGACTGTCTGGTTTGATCCCTATACATGGCGAAAGAGCATTGGTAGCACTTGATGGCATATATCACTTTAGAGGATGTGCAATTGTATGATGTTGTGGCTTATATGAATAGGTCCTGTGATGGTGTCACTTGTATATATATGAGAACAAAGTTGGCAATGGGATTTCTTGCAGAGATAGGTTACTGGATGAGTGTATCTGTGGTGTGTGTGGCTGCTGGTATTTGCTTAATGTTGTGTGTAGGCGAACATTGGCCTGTTTCTCAAAGTCTATTAAAGTGAAGGATTGTTTTCCAGGTAGATTGTCAATTATATGCTTGTGGGGATTAAACTGGGGGCTGTAGGTGATGACCAGTGGTGTTCTTTTATTTTCCTTGTTGGGCCTGTCTTTAAGTAGGTGACTTCTGGGCACTTCTCTGGCTCTGTCAATCTGTTTCGTCAATTCTCCAGGTGGGCATTTAAGTTTCAAGAATGCTTGCTAAAGGTCTTGTTGTGTTTGTCTCTGTGGGAGTGGAGTAAATCTATCCTGTTAGTGGGTGAGTTAGTGTCCAGTCCGGGGGTGGAGTTCAGGCCTCTTCTTTTACCTCCCCTTACTCGGGTGTGGTTTGCAGAGGGACTCCAGGCCCTCCCACTCCTCCGGGTCCCAGCCCAGGGACCCTATCCGTACAAGTTCTATGCTAGGAGTTTAGGTTGAACTTAACCACATTTTAGGTCAATTTTCTAAACAATGAGTCCACACACCAAGCTCATTCCATCGACTTTAAGGACCTTGCATAGTGGTCTTCTGGGTAGTGCAGATGCAGCCCTTTGACAGTAAACCAAGAGGTGTTCCACAGTGCCCCTCTGTGGCCGCTCTGGCCAGGGCTTTCAACTCTGCTGCTCTCCAGGTGCAAGGAAAAGCTCCAGGAAAAAATTAAATTTATTTCCTGTGTGACCAGCATGGCAAGCAGACCTCTCTCACTACAGACATGGCCAAAATGTTCCCCTTCTACTGCCCAGGTAGTGAGGAAGGCAAGGAAAAAGCAGAATAACTGGAATGCTGAACAGATAGAAGCTGAGTCTAAGGAGTGGTGACAGAAGAGACTGGAACTAAGAGCCAGTGTGGGGGAAATTGGGCATGGAGACACAGGGTGGGTGAAAGGGCACATAGAGATTAGGAGCCAAGGGAAATGGCGAGGAGGGTGCCCTGGAGAGGCCATGTACATCAAGGATTCAGGTTTCAGGGTCTGGAAAGGAAAGAAGCATCTGTAACCACTAGAGCACACTTACCTCAGGTCCTACAATTCCTTAATCTCAATAATTCTTTGCTTTCAGCAAATAGCTTTGAATGCCGATGGAAAAATGTGTGCCTTGTCACTTTCTAGTGCCGGGCCCACATAGGAGTAGTAGGTTGTTATCCTCATTAGTTCTCTGTTCAAGTGGCAAGTGTCTGTGTTGTGGTTCTAAAGTTTCTAAGCTTGTTAATAAACTGTGTGGGTCATTGGAATTCCATAGAGTGGAATATTTTTTTCAGGATTTTTTTTAAACCTGGGAAATTACATATACAAAACTTCATTAAAATAATGATAAGGTCACAAAGTCAAACACTCTAAAGTTAGAAAATGCCAGAATTAAGACTGACCATCTTTAATACACAATCACATACTTTTTTTCACCAGTCAGTGCAAAAGGTGGATGGTGTTCAGACACTTAATCAGCATTATGTAGTTAATGAGGCTGTTGACTGCTTCACTTGTTGCAGAAGTTAGAAGCAGGGGTGACTGGTGAAGGGGAGCAGAGGGGCCACTGTCCATGTGATCTCCCAGCCTGGGACAGTCCCCCACTGCCTTGGGCCCTGCCTCTGCATGTTCCTGCTCTGATCTTTCCCTGCCTCTTCCCCACCCTTGCTTCACCACTACCATGCCTCTTTCCCCTCCTCTCAAGCAATGTGATCCAGAAGATTAGCACCCACAGCAGACATCTGCCCCTCCCCGACATGCTCACCAGCAGTGATGGGGAAAGCAGAGCAATGCAGCCTCAGCTCGCTTTGCTCCCCTGACTGTATCAGTCCGCTTCCTGAAGCTGAGGTCCTGCACCTCCTTAAGTGATGTGACCAGAAGACTACAGTGAGCTGAGGACATTGCTCTGATTGTCCTGCCACTGCCGGTGGATGTGGGGGGGCAGACCCGTACTGTGGGAAGCAGATCCCCCACCTGCTAGTCCCCCTGCCAGCATTTGACCAACCCCTGGCCCTTCCTTCCTTCAGCATTTGGGTCATGTGTCCTTTCATGTCCCCTACATGTTGCCTATAGTTGGAAGGTGCTTAACAAGTGAGACAGGAAAGTTCAGGAAGAGGAAGTATAGTCTTGTAATTTGAGTAATTGAATTACACCATGCTTTTTCCTCATTTTCCTTAACGCTGCCTGGATCTAGGAGGGAGCATTGGGGGAAAAATAGAGTCAGTTTATATGACTAGCATCACAATGGCCTACAACAGATGGTAGTCACAAGAGCAGCTTAGTTCCTGATTAGCTCTTATGGCTCTGGACAGCATTCCCATTACAGACAGTATCTTTGGAGAATTTAGCTTCCAAAACCTTAAAAAGTCACTACCAAGCAAGTACAGTCTGAGCAGTAAAAGACACATAAAACACTTAGCTGACCCCTTTACCCAATTTCAGGTTCTTCAAAACATGGAGGCACTAAAGCATTTCAATATGAAGATTGTAAGAATTTTTTCAGTGTGGTTGGATCATCTTTTTTTCCGTAATCTTGTTCTCAGATGTAGCTGAACCATTTTTTGTTATACTTCCCCAAAAATTCAGCACGAGGCAGATCCCCAACATAGGAAATTATAGCCAGAATGGTTATACTTCTTCAAAGTTATAAGCAACTGAAAACTGGGTCTAAAAATGGGAAATGTTGAATAACTTTAACTTTACATGATACTCTCGGCTCCAGCTTATAATAAATACAGAGGGATAAATCCTGAAGTTTATACTCATTTTTACTTATACATGCTTATTTGATGGGAGTTTTGGACAGAGTAAAGAATAACTCATGGAATTCAGGATTTAGTCCCAAGTTGATAGGATTTTTATTCTTATTAGCATGTCATAATAGGTGAAATCCACTCTGATCCTTGGATCCAGGGCATTATAGAAATTCAAAGTATTGTAATTTAGTCTTTTTCTCACTAATAGGAAGAGAAGATTGCCAAAAGAAGGGCAGAACTTTTAGCCGAACAAGCTAAAAAGAAGGAAGAGGTAAGAATAATGTAGTGGAAAGAAATTTAAAAATGTAAATATTTTATTTGGTCTATATTAGGAATATTTAAAATGTTTATGACTGTAATAAAACAACAAATAGTCTAGCAGCACCTTAAAGACTAACAAAACATGTAGATGGTATCATGAGCTTTCATGGGTACAACCCACTTCTTCAGATGTACCCACAAAAGCTTATGATACCATCTACATATTTTGTTAGTCTTTAAGGTGCTGCTCGACTATTCATTGTTTTTTCCAGTTACAGACTAACTCACTACCCCTCTGAATCTTATGGCTGTAATATCTGTTATTTAAAAAAACATGCAGTAGCAGTACCATAACTGAAGTTGTCACAAATCTCTATTTTTCACTATAATTTAACCAGATATTTAAGGCATTTTACTGTTGATTGGAAATAAAGCTACATATTAGAGACAAGGAGTCTTGTAGCACCTTATAGACTAACAGATGTATTGGCGCATAAGCTTTCGTGGGCATGCATGCATCTGACAAAGTGGGTCTTTGCCCACGAAAGCTTATGCTCCAATACATCTGTTAGTCTATAAGGTGCTACAAGACTCCTTGTCACTTTTACAGATCCAGACTAACACGGCTACCCTTCTGCTACATATTAGAGACTATTTATAACTGTGTTTTAAATTAATTGTAAATATGAATTCCTATTTAGCAAGGTACTTAAGCACATTCCTATCTTTAAGCACATGAATAGTCCCTATTAACTTCAGATGAGGCACATGATTTAAGTATCTTGTTGAACTGAGGCCATGGTTACTTTGATATATGAAGTTATGGTTTCTGCCCATACTCAACAGTTACAAAATATGATATAGCTGTATTCAAACTCTTTTTCTCCTTTTGGGTATTCTCAAGTATGGTGTCACCTATCAAGTTTGTTTGTAACAAAACCCTATCAAACTGCAATATTAAAAATGCTAGCTACAATGCAGTAGGAAACAATAATTAAAACATATTTCTTTTATGTTAGCAGATCTGCACTCAGTAACTGCATTGAAGCCTTGGCACAGTGCTGTTCTGTGTTTTCTTCCCAAATATTAATCTCTGGGGGTATGTCTACACTACCCCGCTAGTTCGAACTAGCGGGGTAATGTAGGCATACCGCACTTGCAAATGAAGCCCGGGATTTGAATTTCCCGTGCTTCATTTGCATAAGCGGGGAGCCGCCATTTTTAAATCCCTGCTGGTTCGAAACCCGTGTAGCGCGGCTACATGGGGCTCGAACTAGGTAGTTCGGACTAGGTTCCTATTCCGAACTACCGGTACACCTCGTTCACTGTATATGGTTGAACTAGGAACTTTATTTGAAGATCAATGATTGTAGTTTGATTAACATTTATGCATAGTAATTTGACACATAAAGATTAATAATACAATCTTAAAACATGAAGCTATCACTGAAAATTAATCTTCAGAAGCAAACTTTTTAAATTCTCTATTCAAGCTTGTATTTTTCAGTGAAATAATGTACT